AAGTTATAATAAGGAATAAATAATATCGGGGTAAAGCACAGCCCGCGATGACACGTGAGGTGCATACACAGGCTGAGCAAAGACATGGGTAGTAGCATCTCGAAGCATCCAGCAGCATCCCACTCCCTTGCGTGACGCTACGCCGAGGCAGACGTACGACCGCTTGTTCCTGCTCGCGTGATGGAGTTGCGTTCGCTCAATCGCGTTATTTCCAATTCGCATCCGCGTTATAAAAAATGTGTTCCCTCATACGATCATCACGTTCTATCCAATTCGCGTCATGAAAGCAACACGCGGCGGTATAGGAGGACAGTTACCTGGTGCAGTGTGTAAACATCGGCACTGGGGAGACAAAGGCGGTCGGGCTTGGTCTTGGCCACCCACAACCTCGTGTGCCGTGCGAACCTTCATCGGTGTTCGCTATAACAGCCCTTGCCCCAACAACCTGTCCAGGCTATACGGGGGTTCTTTGTCCTCTGCCTTAAGTGGGGACTTGTCAAGTGCCAAGTGTTAAATCTGCTCAATGTAATTTGCTCCAAACTCAACCCTGACGAAGTAAATAATGATACATAAGAGGTTTTTTGGGTTGGATCGCGTAAATATATAAATGTGTCGTTAAAAACCCGCCACCACCCGACACAGCCTACGTGTTAAACTAAATAATTATAGTTTAAAAATAAAACTATTTTGTAAACCTATAACGTGCATATTGTGTGTGATACGTTTCCAAGTAAGTTTCTGAATATTTTCAATATTAAATCCAGGAAAGCTTCCACTTTCCTCACAACGTTGAGTTATGATTGCAATATATTTTCGATTCTTCATGTGATAGTGTTTTTGTTCAGTCGACTTGGGTTTGCTGCTCTTTAATTTATTTGCTTTGCTTTTTGTCATTTCTGTGACCCAGGTCACTCTCGCAAAATGAAACTCATCCTGGCCTCTTGAATTCTCACCAAAACAAACTTGAACTTTGAACTTACAGTAGGTCACCACTGCCGAGTGCTGAACTGTGCATTTGAACTCCTGTGCGCAGCCGTAATTGGCTGACATTGGGTGAAATGGCTATGGTCTTCTTGATGGCATATCAGCTCATCACAGAGTTACCACACAATCCCATCCCCAATTAACAGGATTTGCAACTCAATTCGTTTATTTTTAAACAGAATTTGTTTTATTGAATGGTAAAATAGAGAGTGATGTGGAAAATAACCACGCTGCAGTGTAGGTTGCACGTTACGAGCTGCAGATAGACGGACAAATAGGCGGATGGACCGACGAGATTTTCAGATTATACACAGGATTATTATATCATATGCATTCATGAAAATATGGAAACATCGGTCACTCCGGTAAAGACAAATTGTTGTAGAAAAATCGAAGGCTCGTGCAAACCGAGGCACATGGAGTGGTGTACAAATGTCACTGGCCAGTCTGCTGAACGCATCAGCTCCCCCCTGTCCAACTTCTCAAAATGTCAACGTGCAAAATGACGGTAGGCTTATGCAAATGAGGTACGGCATTGCGAGTTGATCTATGACCTATCGACTGGGAGTACATCGAGGGCCGTCTTGAGCGAGACGTCGAGTCTGATTTGACGGATTTGAAAAATAAGAATAGGTTTTCCCCTTCCTGGCAACAAAGCAGGTGTTAAGATGTTCAAACGCCAAATAAGATTCCTTTTGCAAAGGAATCAAGTCACTCGGAGTGCTCAGTTTTGTTGTGCTGATGGCTATGATTAGACAACGGCAGTGTTTAGATCTCCACCTCAGGACGTGTTCAATCTCTCGTTTTACTGGTAAGAACCACCATGTTCGACCAGCCCACAAGGGATTATTGTGTCCGTCCGTCGTGCATCCAAAAATGGGAGGGGTGGGGCTGGGTGGAGAGGGGAGGGTGGGGAGGGGCTGGGTGGGGAGAGTGGGGAGGGGCTGGGTGGGGAGGGGAGGGTGGGGAAGGACTGGGTGGGGAGGGTGGGGCTGGGTGGGGGGTGGGAGGGGTGGGGCTGGGTGGGGAGGGGCTGGTCACCCCGTGGTGCCCTTATAAAACTCAACGTTTAACCTACTCACGCCGGCTTGTGCCCGCCCTCACAGTCGGCCATATTTTAGAAATGCACCACGCCGCCGTTGACCCTGGCCATTGACCGAGCAACCCAACGTTCCTACCAGCTCCCTCCGCAGGAATGTGTTTCCCTCTCTCAATCGGCTTCTGTTTGCCTTTTTATTTGTTCCTTCCATTGGCCCGTTATACTGCAGTTGTTTTGCACGTATAATTCCTCCACCGAGTAGAAATTCTTCATGTTGGTTTTATTTTAATCTCCTTTTTTCAATAGGCCTTCATGTTGATGTTCACCAATGCATGTGTTTTGATACGGTTCATATTCAGTGCTCCGTACTTCACGTCCAGAGTCCGTAGCTGCCGTCTTGTCCATCCTCACATTTCCTGTCTTCATCTTCATGTCCACAAGACCGTTCCTTGAACACTACAAACTTTTAAACGCTTTAAGGAGTTTAGATTAGGTGTTATTGTTCCAAGAAACATTTTATTCTGAATCAAAATACGATGTACATTACCTGTAATCTGTCTGGGTTGTCTTCTGTTCTCGGTAAGAACGAAATTGCGCTGGTATCATTTTGTTTGCAATAAATATACCAAGCAACATTCGAGAAAAATTGTCTTAACATAGTTGCTAAGCCCATGGGTTGCCAGATTGGTTAATAGTATTCACAATTGATATTTATTTATTTTACGAACACGTATTTTTTTACACAATATTTAAAATTGTGCGTTTCACGGTGATGTGCTCAACGGGAGCGGGGTGGGTTGCCCTGGCTCCGTGAAATGCACCCACGCTGACATCTCTCAGAATGTCCGTAAATCCAAAATGCAGTTGGCTCTGCTATTAGATCGGATTAAAGGAAGTGTAATTCCGCAAATGCCAAAGGACCTTTGACTAAGGCTTGTCATGCCTGCATTGAGGGTATTGTAAGAGAAAGGTTAAGCCAAGGCAATACGTGGTGACGGAACGTAACAATACGGCTGCGTCGCTAAACTGCCAAGAGCCGTTCATTTAGAATTAGCGGCTTCGGAGGATATTTTTAGAAATATTTTTCACATTTTTGCAGTAATCCTTTGTGTCGGTAACCAACCACATACATAGGTTAAGATTGCAAAAATGTAAAAACTCCATCCGCACTGCAATGTACAAGATATGAATTATATGCCCGAGCACGTTGATGGACCGAGTTAATTCTCCCTCGAAGGGAACTATTTAGTCACATGTTAAGACCATTGTGAGTTGTGAATATTTGCATAAACCATCGAGAGCAAAGATAACAATCCCCTGTATAGTCTCAACAGACTGTTGGGTGAAGTGCTGTTAGCGAGCACCTATGGAGGCCAGCATGGCACACGAGGCGGTGGGTGACCAACACTATGCCCGGCCGCCTCTGTCTTCGCAGTTCTGATGTTTACACACTATGCCGGGTGCCAATTTAAGGCTAAGTCAACCTAGAAGAAGGCTCAGTTAAAATATTCGCAGCACGCTAACCACTACACTAATGCTCGCCACTAAACCAAACGCAAACGTGATAACATCCATGGGGTGAGAATACGTTTTAATCAATGGATTTGTTACACTGACAACTCTTTGATCGCCACTCACAGTGCGTCACGTTGGGTGAAAATATTGAGTCGAACATGAAACACAGGTGGGGGAATTCAATGACGAGAGTATTTTGAGTGAATTGAAAGGGAAGACAGTTGTGTGGCAGACGGCTTTTACAGACAGTGCGGTAACAGCTCCTAATCTTCTCAGGAACAAAGCATATCAAGGAGTTTGTCAAATTTGGGAGATTTTTTTTGAGCTAGCGGTTCTATACTTCTAAAATCGGACTCTTTGTTTTTAATGTTACAGGAGTTGTTAAAAAAAAAACACTTGGACTCTTGATACCACTTGCAAACACACGACGACCGTTGCTCCTCAGGGAAAACAAGAACAGTAAACTCGGGCACCGCCCGCATGTTACTTTATTGTCGGTTTTGTTTGGTGGCATTATTCCACCTCCCGCTCCCCCCTCTCTTCCCTCTCCTTCCACTTCCTTTGTCTTTTGCCGTGGATCGTCGTCCCCTTGCACTGCGGTCGGGGGGCGAGCCCCAGGTGCCTCCAAGCGGCCCCTCATTTGAGGGAGTAACGCTCCGGGTCCCTTACACGCTCATGGCCTGCGTTTCCCTCTGATGTCTGTTTTGGGTTCTTGAAAAGAATAGAATAATGGAAAAAATGGTGTCTCTCTGTCTGTATATCGCGTGTCTCTCTGGGTGTACCTCGCTGTCTCTCTGTAAATCTCGGAGACACGCAGAGAGACGCCCTCACTGTGCACGCGACTCGAAAAATCACCGCGTTGTATTTTATTCATACGCTGCGGGAAACAAGTAGCGGCACACGCACGCACACGTTGGAAGCGAAATGTGTGCATCATGCATACTTTCATGTTGTGCCATGAAACTCTCCACCAAATGGGGTTATGTCTCCAAACTCGGTGCTACTTCTATACCAGTGCAGGAGTATATCATGATGCTGAGCCAAAACATGTCTGGTATAGAGTTCTGTACTTCTCATATTCACAGCCAAATATTTTGTGAGGATCCTTCATAGTAGACTTGAACTCTTCCTTCAAAAGGAACTACTTTCACTGGGATAATGTCCAAAGGAGCTTGGACATTCTTATTTTTGAGTCCTGTGGCCATAAATACATTGGGACTATTCATGTCTTCTTTATTTCTGATTTTTTTCTGATCTTATTGTGATTTCCTCTTGACGTGAAAATGGCTCCGTAGAAAGGGAATTGGTCAAAAATCTGAATGCGGGATGGTCACAGTAGGACCAGCAGGATGGTCACCATTCGGAATGTTTGTCTTGACGCGGCAATGCGCGTGCGACGTTTCAGCTGGCAGCGCGGCGGGTATTCGGTACTAACCGTGGATCGCTTTCTCGGCTTGCGCAGATGACGGTGGAGATCCCGGAGAACTCGCCGGTGGGGACGCCGGTGGTGCGCGTGCAGGCCAGCGACCCCGACGAGGGCGAGAACGGAAAGGTCCAGTACCGCCTCGCATCCTGGTCGTCCTCCTCCTCGTCGTCCCAGCCGATACCTCCGATGTCGTCGTCGCTGTTGTCTCTCGCATCATCGTCCTCGTTGACGCCTTCGTCCTCCTCCTCCTCCTCCTCCTCGTCGCCGCCGTCGTCGGTCAAGCCTCGTCGACGGCCGGACACGGCTCTGTTCTGGCTGGATTCGTCATCGGGCCTCGTCGTCGTGTGGGGCCTGCTGGACCGCGAGGAGGCGGACATCCACCGCTTGGTCATCGTGGCGACGGACTGTGCGCCTTCGCGACCGGCGAGCGCCACGGCCACGCTCACCATCATCGTGGGTGACGAGAACGACACGCCGCCCGAGATCGAGCTGCGCATCATCGCCCGCACCGAGGGGGACGCCGTGACGGCCGAGGACGCGGACGACGACGACGACGGCGGCGACGGCGAGGTGAGAGGAACGGCTTCGGCGGCGACGGTCGTCGTCTCGGAAGCATCCCCTCCGGGCTTCCCCATCGCGCTCATCTCGGTGTCGGACCGCGACTCGGGCAGCGGCGGTGTCGTCTCGCTGTCCATCTCCCTCGACGGCGACGAGGAAAGCGCCGGCAAGGACGACGGGGATGAGGCCAGCGCCGCCGCCGCCGATCTGCCGTTCCGGGTCCGGCGCCTCCCGCCGTCGCCCGACCGCTACCTGCTGGAGACGGGCGTGGGGCTGGACAGGGAGCGGCGCGAGAGGCACGTCGTGCGCGTCGTGGCCAAGGACTCGGGCGTGCCGCGCCTCTCCAGCACGGCCGTCGTGTTCGTGCGCGTCGCGGATGCCAACGACAACCCGCCCGCGTTCCCGCGCCTAGTATACGAGGCCGCCGTCGCGGAGAACGGCCCGCCGGGCTTGCGCGTTGCCTCGGTGACGGCGACGGACGCTGACGTGGGCAAGAACGGCGCCGTCGTCTATTCCATCGAAAGGGTGATCGCCCTGAGGATGGGCGCCGGAGGGGCCGACACGGCCGGAGGCGGCGACGCGACCGCCTCCCGGGCCGCCGACGCCGCCGGCACCGTGCGCCCCCCTACCGTCGTACGGCCCTCATTGTCGGCCTTCCGCATTGAGCTCACGACGGGCCTGGTGACCGCCTCGCAGAGCCTCGACCGGGAGGACGCCCCCGGCGGCTACGCTCTCGCCGTTGTCGCGAGGGACCGGGGCGTCCCGCCGCTCTCGGCGACGGCCACCGTGATTGTGCGCATCCTCGACCGCAACGACAACGCGCCGCAGTTCGAGCTGCCTGATTTCCACTTCTACGTCCGCGAGAATCAACCGGCCGGCAACATCATCGGCCGCGTGTCCGCGTGGGACCCCGACGAGGGTGACAATGGGAAGCTGGAGTATGCGATAACCGTCGTAAACGGGGAGGAGTTCGACAAGAACGACGCCAAGCATCGCGCGGAGGTCTGGGACCAGGATCCGAACCGGCACGCGGCCGACGACGGGGAATCGACGTCGTTGTCTTCGCTGTCCTCCTCGTCGTCCCAGCAGCCGTTGTTTAGCATCGATCCTGACACGGGGGTGATCCGGGCCGGGTTCTCCTTCGACCGCGAGAAGCAGCACTTCTACACGCTGGAAGTGCGCGCGCGCGACCTCGACCAGACGCCCACGTCGCGCCTCAGCTCCTCGGCCCGTGTCTTCATCCACGTGGTGGATGAGGACGACAACGCCCCCGAGTTCCTCGCACCCAAGACCAACTCGACGTTCGTGTTCGTCGAGACGACGGGGGGCGCCGTGCCGGGCACCACCGTCTACCCCGTCTCAGCCATCGACCCAGACTCCCTGCCGCCCGTGCCTCGGCGCGAAGACGTGGCGGCCGCGGTCGTGGCGGCGGCGGATGAGACCAAGTCGGCATCGTCGTCGTCGGCGACGTCCACCGCCAAGTCTCCGATGGCGCCGATGCAGTACTCGATCGATGGCGGGAACCCACGGGGCCTCTTCGCCATCGACGCTCGCACGGGCCTCGTGACGGTGCGGGAGGCGCTGACGGACGAGCATGCGGGTCTGCACCGCCTGGTGCTGTGCGCCCGCGACACGCGGCACCGGGCCGTCGCGCTGCTGCACGTGTTCGCCAACGCAACGCTGGACGACGTGACGGCCGTCAACCGCCTCATCACGCGCAGCCTCGCCACGCCGCTCTCCAAGAACGTGTCCGGCCTCGGTGGGCCGTTGGGCTTCGACGACGACGGCGACGAAGACGGCAAGCAGAGCAGGCTGCTGCTCGTGGCCGCCGCCCTCGCCCTGGCGGCTGTGCTGGCTGTAGTGGCACTGCTGGCGCTGCTGGTCGCCCTCGCGCACCACTGGTGCCGCTGCTGCTACGTCTGCCGCTGCTGCTGCCGCTACAAGAAGGAGCACCGCGGCAAGCGCAAGTTTTGCGGCGGCGGCGTCGGGGGCGGCGGCGGGCTGGCACAGGCGGCCGTGGATTGGCCCATCTCCAACGATGACAAGAGCATCGGCCACGCTGGCAGGCGGGACAAGGGCGAACGAGGGATCACGGTAGCCTGCACCATCCTGGGCCACGAGGGGGCGAGGGACAAGCAAGCGTCACTCGCAGGTGAGACGGTAACAGTGAAGCCGCGCGATTTGTTCCAAAGCGCTGCGGAACAAAAGTGATTGCCCGAAAAATGCTCGCGTTGTTAAAAGAAAGACACGTTATACAGTCGTTAGTTCTGTCATTTTAAATTTAACCTTTGGCATAATCCTGGCTCTTAACTATAGCCTTAAAATGTAACACCTGTAACTACTGCACGCTGCACGCAGCAGCCCCAAGGTTGCGGCCTAGTCTAGGCTTTGCAGCGCTCCCCATAAAAGTGACGTTTGTAATAAAATGTGATCATGGTGGCAGCAATCACAAATAAGGAGCGATGCGTACTTTAAATGATAGCACGGTGATTAAAGCTCACGTTTGCAATTAATAGTATGCCAATCGATTTCAGTTTTGACATTAAACAAATAGGGCACGGTTTGCATATATGTTAACGCTTGAGGAATATATTATAACAGCTTTTTTCGAACTATTAATGCTTTGATGTTCGCATTGTCTTTGTGCTATTTGCCTTTTGGCGTTCTCTGGTCTAACACTGATGAGACAAGGTCTCTGATGTAGGCCAATCAGGATCAAATCATGTTGTTTCCATGTTTTACCACAAGCGCGTGTGGTGAATGTAGAAATGGTGCCTTGTGATAGGTGTCTATTTGGTATTTGAATATTTTAAGGATAAAACCTATTCCTTTTTCGTTTCCATCAGCTTGAGGAATATACCACACTGTTGCTCTCAGAAGTAAGGTTATTTAGGTCTTAAGTGTCCATAAAATGTTGCATTGAAGTACATTATTTAAACATTGTCGATGAGCACCAGCATTTGCATTGCAATGGTCTTGCTCTTATTTTTCACATGCACAACAAAAACTGTGGCTATGCAATAATTGATTTGCCTAACTGCCTTCAGCAGCAGTCCATGTGATCCACAGAAGCACAGAATACGTTGTTCAAGATACATGCTGTACATTAGCTTTTACGACCACGAAGCCCTTCTGTCATGCCCATGTGCATTGTTCTTGCAAGCAGCCAGCCGTCTTGTTTTGCTGTACCAATGGTGAATAGAAACTATTGGGTAAAATGTTAAACAGCCCGACACTGAGGCGTTATTATCATATATCTTCTCATTCAATTCCCTCCACGGAGACACAGAAAAAGTTCAGTTGCACACTATGTCTACGTTTAACATTATTATTGCATCCATAATAGAGGCTTTTGGGTTAAATTGTAGTAATAGAAATGTGTCGTTAAACCCGCCACCACCCGATACAGCCGATTCATCAGGTGTCGTTGGGTGGTGGCGAGTTATAACGACACATTTATATTCACACGATCAATGGATAATATTGGTCGTGAAAACCTACGTGTTAAACATTACTATTGCATACTCTTAGTTCTTTCGGTAAAGTCACTTAGGTGAAAAATGAAATAAAAAATTATTAAAATAAAATAATAATAAATCACGACGTTTCGGAGGCAACACAAGTCTCCGTCATCAGGTGGGACCGTCACTGCATGCAGCAAATCTGGCTGTGACGGTCACACCTGATGACGGAGACTTGTGTTGCCTCCGAAACGTCGTGATTTTTTATTCTTTTTATTTCATTTTTTACCTACGTGACTTTACCGAAAGAACTAAGAGTATGAATCCTTGCAGTCACAAAAGCTTCAAATCTATAATTACTATTGCATCTCACCTGGGATACGTGGGGACACGTGGGGAGAGCTAGCAGCCCCTCCTCCTACTGCAGTCCCGCCCACTTGTGCATAACCACGCCCACCCACCAACTAGCCCGGCCCACACAGTGAGTGGCCTCCCTCTCTGCTCATGGCCCTGCCCTGCTGCTCAAGGCCCCACCGACTCACTTTACAGCCCCCCCCCCCAACCCCCGCCATTTGCTTGATCGTGAACTCAGACACTGTATATTACAACTGGAACAAAATCCAAATGTTCACTAAATCTTTGTGACACCGGGACAGCCTCTCTGAAACTGGAGACTGCTCTGGCCAAACGGGTACTTTTGGTAGCACGAGTAAAGGTATAGTACAGTACTGTCCTCATGGATCCTAGTGAATTAGAAAGAAGCTAAAAAAACGTCAAGAGGGCTCTCTATAGATAATATAACGTCTGCTTTTAATAGTGTACTTTTAATTGTTAAGCTTGGAATGTATTATAACCTCCAAAGTAAACATCTACACTTTCCCTAAAATGTAATTGAAGAAGACGATTCCATTATCTCCAAAAACATATGGGACCGAAAGACTGTGGGATAAACATCTTGGGGCCTATATGTACAGCGCTTCATCATTATAACACGGGCATCACAATTATTTACTATAAATGGTTAATTAACTAATGCATTAAATCAAATGTTGGTATGGAAATTAAGTCAGCCAGAGTCTCAGGACAGTCTTTTATTTTAAATCTCTTACGTTAAAGATCGGTATCTACAAACAGTTTACTTTACATATTGATTTTATCAGCCAGCATTTTAATGCTCTCCTGCTACAGGCTAACGCGTGCGATGTTCATCATTGGCCCAGATAAATTAGAATAAAACCCAAACACATTAATTGTGAATAAATTAACTTGTAATGCTTAATATCTAGGTCCTGTGATGGTACCATTTGCTCGAACCAAACGGTTCCTGCGGACGCCGAGAGCCTAGCAACGGCATTGTGACGTCACGACGTATCCGCTCGGCCAATGAGGGCGGCGCGCGGTGCGTCGGACAACCGAGAGTTTGCAGGATGCTACCGGCGCCTCCAATTGGCTGGTATACAGAGGGTCGTGGGTTCAACGCTTGTATATTTGGTGTTTGTGTGTATTTTTCTCTAGGTCCTCCGGTTTTTCCCTCCACATTTTGAATCATTGTGCGTTTAGAGTATTTATTTGGCTGCTATGAATTTCCACGTGATAAGCCACTTCATTGAGCGATCATTTGTGGCCACGTCGCTTCTAAACAAAGCGCTGTGTAGCTCAGTGGGCCTCACCTGGTAAAGTTAAAACAATATAAAAGCACCCTGGACCACTATGGAGTGTTCTGACCATGGAACGCACCGCTACTTAAGAAGCTGGGTCAGGTGACACGGTTATTCTGACTTCCTGGATCCTACCTTGAAGATTAGTTATGCCGTTTCAACGCAAACGTCGCATATATATTTGATACATTTGTTGCCTGAAATTTTCTCTTCTAGTATATTGCAAGTACGTGTAAATTATACAACGGGTTTCAGTTTGTGAGCCATGTGATGATGATAGCTTAAGGGACAGCACGAATATAATGCTGTCCCGTCTGCCGGAGAGAGCAGGCGTAGAATGCAGGTGATATACTACAATGTGGGTTGTTGAAATATGACGATACTAGAATCTACGAATGTATAGTGAGATATATGGTCTAGGTTAATAAAATTGTGTTAATCAATATTATTGCAGATCCTGTTATTTCTTATGAAATATTTCATGTTATTTTATTAAAGGAAACAATGATTAAAGTTCAAAAATGAAAAATGCCGCTTAATTATTTACATTTCATACAAATACTATGCATATGTTATGCAAATTAAACATTTAGACTAATTGAGTGAGCAAGACCCGAGGAGCAATACGTGCAAGATGGTCAAAGTGATAATCGCCAACGTTATTCTGACAGTTTCGTCGAATCGCTGAGCTCTAACTTAGGGGTTTCTGCACAGTGTACCGTGCAGAACAATCGCAAAACACTTCTGGTGCATCCACTTCTCTGTGTCCATTTTTGTGCCGTTTTATAGCAAGGCGCAACGATTTTAATAAACGCGGACCCACCTTGCATGCATGCTGAGTGAGAATGGGAATAAGAGTGGGCCCCATGCTACTGAGTGGGTGCCGTGCCATCGAGATGTTACAGTGCGAGTATTTCCTTAGACACGTTCAGTACAATCTGAGCAGGCCCACGCGTCCTTCGGAGGCGACCCTTCACCCGTCCCTAGCTTCCTCCGGATGTCACGTCCTGCCAGGCAGCCAGACAAATATTCAAGTTTTTGCCCGTGGCTAGACCTTGGCAAGGGGGTGTAGAGTCCGTTGCGCAATACGGCAGACAGGGCAAGATGAGCGGGAAAGGGCCGGGACGGAAGTCCCCAAGACGGAGAGAGTGGACGTGGGTCAAGACGGAGCCGCCGGTGCAGGAAGGGAGAAGGAGGAGTTCCGGTGGGAAGGAGGAGAAGGACAAGAGGTTGGCGATGAGAGGTGATGATGACCAGAGGGGGGGGGGGGGGGGGGAGAAGGAAGGAGCGAGCAGGATTGAGCTGCGAGGGGGAGGAGCGTCTGTTTTCACAGTGGGTGGGAGAGTGGAGGGATTCAGAGTGGTGGCTGATTTACATAGATCCGGCGTGATTGGTGCAGATGCATTGGCACATTGTAAGTGACAGGGTCCGTTATTGGGATGTCCAAAACAACTAATTTAGAAATAAGAACTCGACTTTGTTGGTAAAAGCATCCAGCCTCCCCACCCCGAGGACATTTTCCTATATTGTAACAATCCCCACGCGAGCAGTTTGCGTTATGCAAAGTGGCACATTCTGAGAGACAACCTTGTCGCCATTCCACTGCACGTGTCGTGCGAAGCATTCCTCAAAGTGAACACACAATGACCTCCTTTCAGCTTTCTTCATCTGGTCTACGTTCATTCATTGTGGTTGTTGTTGTGATTATTTATTTTACCAGTTTGTTTGTGTACCTTGGAGAAGAGGGAAGATTGTAGGAAGGAGTGAAACAGGCCCAGTGGCTCACGCACAGTTCCATGATCCAAGTTAACATTTGAATTCCTGTTATCCTCCTATCTCGAAACACATTTAGTCAAGGTGGATACAACTCTGGGTGTGCCTGATTTATGCGGCTGAGCTTTGGAGTTTGCAGAAATATCAACAACAAAACTAAACGCTAAAACTAGTTTTATTTTACCAAGTAAGACCCACTGAGCTATACAGCTCATTTGCAGAAGCGACCTGGCCACAAATTATCACTCAACGAAGTGGCTTATCATGTGGATATTTATAGCAGCCAAATACTCAAAACGTATGTTTCTAAATGTGGAGGGAAAAACCGGAGGACCCGGAGAAAAATCCACGTGACCACGGGGAGAACATGCAACTCCTAATATACAGCAGGCGTCAGGGTCGGGATCGAACCCACGATCTCCTGTATACCAGGCGAGGTAGTTAACATCGCACCAGCATGGCGCCCATAAAACATTTGTACTTAGCCTGGGCCTGCCCTAGGTCAACCTCAGCCTTCAATGAGTACCCGCTGTGTGTTATCAGCACTTGGGGAGACAAAGGTGACTTGGCATGGGCACGGGAGCTCGCGAGAAGTTTGTTGGCGTGTGAATTGTGCGTGTTTGTGCGTTGTTTGTGGGGTGAGGAGGGGAGCGCAATGTGCGATGCATGAGTCCTTGGCGGCTCCTGTCATAGATAAATGTTGTGAGGCTGACGATGTATTATTGAGACGTAAAGTCATTTTTTTTTCAACACAATAGCAGCAGGAGTCTCAGATTACATTAATTCCATAAGACTCTTACGTTTCATTTTGCACACATGGTTTCCCCGTGTCAATGCCCTTACCAGCAACGACGGCTGCTTCATTTGATGAATGTTGTGCTTATTGCTTAAAAATCATCAAAAATTCTCATTTTCAAGCAGTTAATCAAAACTAACTTTTTTTAATTCAAGTTCACCGCTGACAGACGACCTACCTCATGTTTCACAGCTGTGAGCAGCAAGAGATCTGTCTCTGTTCTTAATCGCGACGTAAAGTGCAGGAGCAGTGGGGAGCCTTCACTTCCAGTACACCATAAAGATCTTGGGGCATTTATTTGTTTTTTATTTTGTTAGAATTTCATCGACTTAATTATATCGTAGCATATGACACAGAGGATAATAACCCACTGAGGCAGCCTTCACAGCTCCTTACGTTTTCCAACAGCCTCGTTGCCTCAGCGAGCATGGACCGAATGATTTACAGAGTTTAAATACGTTGGCGATGATACATTAATTAAGAGACAAATATCCCCAAACAAAAGCTACCATCTGCCAAATTAAGAAATGATGACATTCACCAAAATGTTTGTGGCAGGCTGGGAGCAGTTTGCGGAGAAATGGGGTGGTGGAGACCCACTGGCAGGAGGCGACAGGACCGACCCGTAGTATGCGTGTTTATATATATATTTATGTTGAACCTCTTTGGCACCATACGTAGCCAACCATGCTAATCGGACGTGCAGGGGAAGTACAACAAACTGAACACAAAAATCAGTTCCATAGGTAATGAGTTTTCAATCGAGATATTAAAGTGCACTACTCCAGTGGCGTTTTAATATTGGCATGAAGAGCGTTCCAGGCGGCCGCAGGAGGGCATTTGAAATCCTGCGACGCGGCGCCCGTCTTTGTTTGATGGCGAGACAAACGCTGCTGCTGCTGCTGCTGCGAGGATGACTGGAGTTCGTGCGATGGTTTATGCTCCTTCAAGGTATCAGCAACCAATTGTGGTTCATTTGTAGCAAACATAATGCCGTGTGTAATGAGGGCAAACCAGCAGCAACGTGTTTGCCGCTTGTTGCAGAGGCCCGCGGCCCAAATCAAGCAGACTGCCCCGGTTATTACTGCTGGTTTACAAACCACTAAATAGTGCCCTATGCCTAAAAGTGGACATTAATGGTCGACTGACGTTATTCGTAAAGAGTGTGCCATTTTGTACTTTCGTCATAGTCCATATATGCCAAATGTTGAACAATTGCCTGCAAAACAGTCAATTGAAATTGCACACACATAGCAACATCACCAGCTGCTGTGAGCCACCTGCAGACGAGGCCTTGAAGCACAGCAGCGCCTGCCTTCGCGACAGCCTTGCGATAGCCTTGCGCTCTAAAGATCGGCGTGAATGCAAATTGTTCACCGAATTCATATGATGAGATAACACACGCGTACCACCGCACACGCGTGTGCACACACTGAACAGTATCCACACTGCGTGAGTGCTGAATATTAATGCAGCAAGTGTCACACTTTGTTTCAGTGTTTGCTCTTGTCACGGTGGATTTTGCACTCGCACAGCCTCTTCAGATTTTCCTCGAAATCTCTAAGTTAAATAATAACAGCGTTACTTGTTTTGTTAAATCGTCGTAATAAAATAGCTGTGCACCAGTGCAAGCCTTCCTGAATCAACACACTGTATAGAACATCAACATATCCCGGGCGTGCATTAAGCATTACAATACTGATTTAATCTGATGGCCCTGTGGTTAAAGAGTCCCGCTCATAATGTGAAGATTGCAAGTTGAAATGTCACCCCGGGTTGCCCATTATTTTCGGTAGCTACATCTCTGCCTCATGCTACGAATGCAAATGAGCGTCATCCTTTGAAAAAACACACGTTCCTGATGACGAAGACACTTTGCTAACGACACAACAGCATCTACAAAGCGTACACACGGCCAGGGCTCACAGCCGGCACGGTCCGGGAATTGTCGCCTGTGTTCGGCTGGCAGCGGGAAATGATTCGTACCGAGCCCCGGTGTCGCTCCGTTCAATCTTTCGTCGCCGTGAACTGCACGGCTTTGACAACACACCGAGGCCGAATGAGAAATAAGTGCGGGTTTGCTCTACAGGGCGGGTGGGGAAAGTGGCGAGGGACCGCCCATGGCGAGCTGCGAGAGCGCCGTGTTGTGGATTGGGCTGCATCTCGAGCCGCGTCCGCTCTCTCTCACTCACTCACGAGTTGTTGTTGTTGCTGTGGCCGCGTGCGCGAGCGAGACCGCCGTACGGCGGGCGGGGACTTCAGGAGTCCCAAGACCTGGAGGTGCCCCCCCCCCCCCGCCGTAGCGCGCCGCTGAACTTCTGGGACGAAAGACGCTCAAACACGTGGCTCGACCCGCATGGGCCACGCCTGGATTACAAGCGGGTGCCAGATCTCCCATTGCTGAATTAGACCCGCGGTGGCAAGCGTGGATGATGGAACTGCCAGTCACGCTCGCATTTAGCCCTTGTTTAACATTTAAACGCCTGCTGTCTCGAATAACATTTTTGTCGAGTTGGATACAACTCTTGGGTGTGCCTGATTCACGGGGCTGAGCTTTGGCGTTTGCGGAAATATCAACAACCAAACTAAAAACTGAGCTATGCAGCGCTTTGTTTAGAAGCGACGTGGCCACAAATGATAGCTCAATGAAGTGGCTTATCACGTGGAAATGTATAGCAGCCAAATAATCTAAAAACGCATGTTTATAAACGTGGATGGAAAAACCGGAGGGCCCGGAGAAAAATCCACGTGACCAAGGGGAGAGAGACACGAAAACTCCAAATAAACAGCAGCAGACGTCAGGGTCAGGATCGAAGCCACGACCTCCTGTCTATCGGGCGAGCTCGTTAACATCTCATAGCCACCGTGGCGAGATGTTGCTGCTGGAACGAGCTGACTGAGAAGAATAGTGGGAGTGTGTCGACGGTAGAAAACAAGGAACAACGAGCACGAGCGGCTGCAGCAGCAGTGACGCCGACAGAGCGGAGCCGATTCCTGCGCATCCACCACGAGGTCGAGAATGGCTGCCCACAGCATCCCAAGGGCGGCGTGGCGCGGACGATCGCACGGAGCGAGAGGCGGCGGTGGCAGGGCGCAGGCGCGCTGGGTTCAGCCGGCGGAGCGTTGCCGCGAACGCAGCTGGCCACAGGTCAAGGAAGTCAGGAATCTGGCGCGAGACGGAACGAGGTGGAGGTCTCACTCGGCCCCATCATCCCCGCGGGAAGACGGGAGGGAGCTGCATACACAACAATAATGAATCACGGTCACACCGACACAGGTGCCATGGTGAGATCAACTACTATCGGTAGCGAACTGCTCTTTGCATAGCGTACATAGCTTGGGTAAACATTTGGTCGAATCAGTTTTAAAATGAGTACCTGATGTGTGGCGGGGTTGAAATGAGTGCTGGGACAGGTTAATGTGAATGGGAGTGGTGTCAGTGCTGACCCTATCGTTTTAACATTCTGACAGCACTTATCTGAAGAGGTCATGTATTATAAATACACTGCAGTATCGTGTACTATATATATATATGTGAAGACAAACATCCACAGTTTAACCTCAGGCAAGAATGCACACCCACGCACATTGCAGCGCACGCACACACACCCGTGCATAGATTTGCGTATTTATGGAATGTGCTAATAATTAGTTGACCAT